TTTTCCAAGCAATATACATAATAATCTTCTTGAAAAATGGCAAAAAAGTTAACAACAGTGGGTGCTAACAGCGACTTTAAGGTTCCAGATTAGGTTTCGCTGACATTTGATTTATCATAGTCGTAGCATCAGTGTGAGTCTAAATAATCAAACGATAAAACTGTCAACATTATTCGAAATATAAACATTACGTAATATAGACATTCACTATATACAGGCATCCAGAACCGTAAAGTCGCTGTTAGAACGCACGCATCTATCATTGATCTTGAATTTCAAGGTCAATATTCTTTTCTTTTTTTGCATCGTATTCTACTCATCACGAAAGTAAAACTTTTCCAAGCAATATACATAATAATCTTCTTGAAAAATGGCAAAAAAGTTAACAACAGTGGGTGCTAACAGCGACTTTAAGATTCCGGTTTAGGTTTCGCTAACATTTGATTTATCATAGTTGTAGCATCAGTGTGAGTCTAAATAATCAAATAATAAAACTGAATATTAACATCATTCGAAGTATACGCATTATGTCCAGAAGTATTTCGAAATATAAGCATTGCGTCCAGAACCATAAAGTCGCTGTTAAGACTCACGCGTCCGCAGTGTTAGAGATTTGTTAGGCTCCTTTATCTTCGTAATGAGTAGAATACAATGCAAAAAAAAAAAAAATTATTGACCTTGAAATACAAGCTTTACATGTTCTCTCCATCAAATCGAAGGTGTAGAATTTATCTACGATAGTCACGAACTTTTCTCACTACTACGAAGAATCAGATGCGTCACGCACGTAGAACGTGTTTCAGAGTACATTCAGAGTACAGAACCTGTATAAAAATTCTATAAAAAGAAAAAAAATTGACTTCTAAAGTCTGTTTATATTTGTTATCTTTAAAAACATCGAAATTAGCTGTCTGCGTGCAAGAAATTACCAACAAAGAACACACGAACAAAATGAGGAATAGGTACGCTTCCTCCGAGAAGTGTTTCAATCGCGAGCAAGAAAACGAGTTAAAAGTTCCGTCAGAATGAGAGAACCATTTTTCAAGGAACAAGGGAAGAACGTAGAACGCGTCAGAACCTTGTTTTCCCCTTCTTTGCAGGCTGCCAGCCGTGGAAGAAGAAACAACGCGAGCTGGTCGAGCAACGTCACCGCGGAGGATGTTGCGATCGGCCGTGACTCGCGCGAACGGGCGGAGGGCGAGGATTACGAGGGCGAGGACGAGTACGAGGACGAGCTGAAGGCCGTGGCCGAGTCGCACGAGGCGATGTCGAGGGACGACACTAGGAATTCGAACGCGTCCACGGCAGCGTCCGCCGGGCTTGCCGGCGAGGAGGCGTCCTCCGTCGCCAAGAACTTCGACTCGCGCGAGGTGATCACCGTCAACAGCTCCGACGAGGATGTCGCGTCCAACGAAGCCATCACCGACGAGATCGTCGACAAATACGACCAAGAGGTACGTGTGTTGTTTTTACTCTCCTGTCTCGCTGGAAAACTGTTCGTTTGTCCCGTTGTCAGACAACGACAAGACGGTTCCTCTCCTCAAAAGGACAGCCGAAACTATTTTCCAGACAAATGGATACAACGGAAGCGCGTGCATACGTTTCCATGTATTTTTAACAAGCCTTTTAACACCTCGAGAGTCGGAAAACGCGAAAGAAAATGGCGAAGCGAGGGGGAAATTAAGCCGCTAGTTTTCAGAGTAAATTTGACACAGGCGTATCGAGGCGTGTGTGGATTGTTGCGCCCCAACGGGGTATATTGAAGTTTCACCGAGCATTGGTCGATTCGCTGGATAGTACCGCGCGCGCGATCTGCTGAAAAGCTTTCGCGTACGGAGAGAGAAAGAGAGAGATAGAGAGAGATAGAGAGAGAGAGAGAGAGAGTAATCGAGAGCCGGGAATTTCGATTGATCGAGGACGGCCACGCGACTGGTGCTAACGTTTCGTGCGCGCGGTGGTGACCTGGTTCCGGCAGAAACCATCCGGCACTCGAGCCTTGACCACTGTTTCGTTGGAACGGCTCGCCGGGGCGAACCCTGACCCGACGACGGCCCAACCCTGACCTACCCACGGCCCATTTCTTACTTTGTTTCCGCGCTCTATTTACGACTGAGCACTGGCCGCGAGCCAAGATAACGTCGATTCCGTTACGTGATCCTGCTGGCTGCGGTTGCCCGACACGTTCGACTCTCTGCCCGATGGATTTCCACTCGCTACGATTCCACTGAATTCGACACTGAATTCTCTCTCTCTCTCTCTCTTTCTCTCTCTCTTTGTCTGTCTCTCGTTCTCTCTCTTCCACGGTGAGAATGAAACGAAGCAGCCGTGCTGTTTGCGTAATGCGGCAAACTACCCGGTCGACAGGAGAACTCGATTCCTTGCCACAAATCTGTCCAAATGGCTTCTACAAAGGATACGTATAATTGCACAATTTTATACAATTTAAACACTTGTACAGTTCGACGTTTATTCAAAGACTCGTTCGATAGACTCGCGTAGAATCTAATTGACTTTCGCCTTTTTCTTTTCTTTTTTTTTTTTTCTTTTTTCTTTCCTTCCGTTGAGTTGTTTCACTGCAGTAACGTTTCCCCATAACCTGCATTTGACATGAGAATTTAGTTAAATTAGGCGTATCGCGTGTGTTTCGTGTTGGTGGTGATTGCAGGGAAAAATTTTCCAAAAAAAAACCTGCGGCGCTTGTGATTCTGCGACTTTCCGAGTGTCATTTAATAGTCTTGGCTGGCACTCTTATTCCTTCTAGAGTTTATTAAATTATAATAAAATTATAATAAAATGTTATAACAAAAGCAGTAATTATCAATTATTGTAATTGAATCTGAATCTCGCGAAAATTTATTGAACACCTGTAGTTGTTAATCAATAATTATCAATAATTGAATGGAAACCTTGAACAAAGGTTTTGTTAGATTTTCATCAATATTAAATTAACGATACGCACAGTGTGATTCTATAATCGTATTAACACGTATAAATTGGATGTGTGCGTTTAATATAAAATTTTATTGGCTGAAAACAGTCATAATGTGTCGAAATATCGCTTGTTTTGTTTCACGTTTCACGGTGAGAATAGTCCCAAGGTCCCAAATTTTCGAGAAATTTAAATTAATTACATTCGATAATTATTTTTTATTATAAGATAGTCTAAGAATTGGTGGGGGTTGACATGCTTAAGTGGACGCTACTATATAACCTACGTGTATAGTATTATATATATAATACATAATATATAGTATATTATATATGTAGCATATAGTATATTATATATATTATATAAATAGCATATAGTATAATATATATATTATATATGCATATAGTATAATATATAATTTTATATACAGTATATAGTATATTATATATATTATATATAGTATATAGTATATTATATATATTATATATGTAGCATATATTATATTATATATATATTATATATGTAGCATATAGTATATTATATATATTATATATGTATATAGTATATTACATATATTATATATATTATATATAGTATGTTATATAGTTTATATAATAGAACGTTCGTATAACATAAATTCGGTGATTTATCTGTTTTACGCTACATTTCAATCATGATCTATTTTCACGCACAAATTTATCCTCGGACGAAACGTTCGTTGATGCGAGCCGGGGAAACTCGTTCGGGCCGAACTTTAACGACGGTTCGATTTAAGAAAATTGTTGCTCGTCGATTTACCGATAGAATGCAAAACAACTCGATTCGTCCGGGGACCGGGGCGAACGAAAGGTAGAAGGGAAACGACAGGCGAAAGGAGGCGATATAAGCTGAACGAGAACTCTCGACTCGACTCGATTCTAGGGGAACGGATCGTGCTGTCGTCTAATGTTTATCGGAAAAACGTGTAGGCGGGCCGATTTCGTCGGACTATCGGAATGTACTTTGCATCGACAAAGGTCCGAGCTGTTTCGCGATTGGAAAAGGCATTTGTAACGTCTCTTAAGGAGGAGTCACTGAAATTTTAAAAGGGTCGCGGCGTGTCTGTTTTCGACGTCAGATCTCGCGCGATTCCTCCAGCGACAACAGCCAGTCGCCGAACGCTTTTATCGTATACATTACTCCATTTCCTCCCAGCCTCTTCGCCTCTCCATTTTCCCTGGCAGCCGAAACCGAATGGAATTTCGATATTTCAACCGAGATACATCGGATAAAGTCGGCCCGTTTAACTTTACTCGTTGTAATTTTACCGAGGGTGAACCTTTATGAATAATATTACGTGATACTCGGGTAATCGAATTGCTCGATCAAACCGGACTGCGCAGTTGGCCGATGCCGTGTTTTTCGCCCAAGCGTTCGCCACCCCCTGCCCCTCGAAAAACGGGACCTTCGACAAACTTCAGTCGCCAGCAAATTGTATCAGATCCGTGTATACGAATTGCCATTTTTTTTCTCTCTTTTTTTTTTTTTTACTTTGAACAGCACGTGATTCTTTCGACACGAATCGTCGTGTATTTGATTCAACTAACTCCATGCTCGTATTCAATTATCCCTCATCGATTGTAGAATTCAGAAATTGTTAAAAATGTCTGTCTCTGATATCTCGGTCTTTTTTTCAGTTTCGTTTCGAACAATTCAATTCGTTTAAATACACTTTTGTAGAAAAAGGAGGGAGAAAGAGAAGGTACGAGGTGAAAGACAGAAAGATGATTGTACGTGAACGATTCCATGCACGTGTTCAATTATCTCTTGTCAAGAATATAAGATTCAGAAATTGTTAAAATCATTCTGGTACAGTTTCTCTTTAGTTTAAATTAATTTAATTGTCAGTTTAATTTAAACGCGCGTGAAGAACGCCTTTTAAAATAGTAACATGTCTGAAAAAGATATATTTTGATAAAATATTTATATATAATTTATTTACATTATTACTTGGATTTTAGTTCAAAAAAAACAAATAATTTGCAATTGATAAATAATGTAATTAGATCTAAAAAATCATTAGAAATAATATCCATTATTATATTTTAATTTGAAAAAATTAATTCTTTTTATCAGACATTTAATGTTATGTAATAAGCTTTTAGGTTCGCACCCTAACGATAAATTAAAAAATTTTTGTGTAATTATTAATTATATTAATTTTTTTTAATATATATATATATTTAACCTATATTATTTATTATTAAACAAATAAAATAATAAAATTTAATTTTCTTTTAATATATTTATGTATAATTTTATTAATAATAATTAATAATTTTGTAATAAAATGAATTATTTATGAACTTTCAATAATTTTATTAATTAGATTATTAAACACTGTAGAAAAATTCTACAAAAGTAATTGGAATCTTGTGCTGTTCAATTTCATCATTATCATCGATCATATTTATATTTTTTATTATTATCAATAATTACTTTTCTATATTTTCATATATAAATTCAAAAATTCTAACAAATTCCTTTTTTATTAATATTACTTTTAAGAAATAAGAATATTTCCATTTCACAAAAAGAAGGAAAAAAGGAAAGGATAACACGCGTCAAAATGAAAGACAAGAACAGTGTTGTAGTCTCACGTTGAAACGTAATATATAGCACAGGCCATAAGATAAACGACAGAAAGACCAAGACAGGCGAGTGTAACGAGCGAGATGGGACAAACGAAATTAACAAAATGAAATAAAAGTTGAGATATAAATTGTCCGCGTGAAACAAACAAGATGTCTTCATCATCGAAATACGTTCTCGTACGTGTTTTTCTATAAAGTTCTCATCTCTACCTCGTCGCCAGTTTCTTCTTAGATCTTTCCCCTCCTCTCGTTTGTTTTAATACATTCCCAAGCATGCACCCAGCGAGAATATCTTGATGGAACGCAGGTGGCCGAGCTGCTGAAGTACAAAAAGGAGCGGAACTCGAGCCAGAGCGAGGGCAGCCGAGCGAAAACGAAACGCGTGCCGACGGTGAAAAAGGAACTGAGCACGCAGAAGGAAATCCTGATCGGGAGCAACGAAACGCAGGTGCCGAAGAGCCTGGTGCCGCCTGAGGATCCGGCGAATCGTCTGAACGAGGAAACGGACGCGATCCAAAGACGAAACGTCGAATCGAACAGAGTGAGTCCGACTAATCACGAAATAAAGAGAAACAGCATCGGTCGTTTTTCTTTAGAACGTACAGGGTGGAAAGAAAATTTTGACTGTGGTTATCACAGATGAGTTTCTTTTTTTTTTTTTTTTTTTTTTTTCTTTTTTTTTTTTTGCATTGTATTCTACTCATCACGAAGGTAAAACTATTCCAAAGAATCTAATAGTTCTCTTGAGAAATGGCAAAAAGAGTTTCTTAATTATTTAAAACGGCGGACGCGTGCGTTCTAACAGCGACTTTACGGTTCTGGGCGCAATGCTTATATTTCAAAATATTTCTGGACATGATGCTTACACTTCGAATGATGTTAATACTTAGTTCTATTATTTGATTATTTAGACTCACACTGATGGTACAACTATGATAAATCAAATGTTAGCGAAACCTAATCCTAAACCTTAAAGTCGCTGTTAGCACCCACTGTTATTAACTATTTTGCCATTTTTCAAGAAGATTATTATGTATTGCTTGGAAAAGTTTTACTTTCGTGATAGAATACAATGCAAAAAAAGAAAAGAATATTGACCTTGAAATTCAAGATCAATGATAAACGCGTGCGTTCTAACAGCGACTTTACGGTTCTGGATGTCTGTATATAGTGAATGTCTATATTACGTAATGTTTATATTTCGAATAATGTTGACAGTTTTATCGTTTGATTATTTAGACTCACACTGATGCTAC